GGTTGTCACACGCGCAAGTGCGATCCAAATCTCATTTTTCCACTTCGATCTCTTTTTGATTTCTTTGCCGCATCATGACATGAAATGAACGTTTTGGCTCCAAATTGGATTTCTTTCTCCGTATTCCTTTCGCATCGCCTTCGGCGGTGATAAACGATCTGTAGAATCAGCTGACGCCTTCATGTAGAATCACGTGTGCGCTTTAGGTCTTCTTTTTAATTACGTTTTCTACACTTTTTCTCTTCCTTCCTTCTCTCCTCAAAACGCGAAGATATGTCAGCTGCGTTTCAAGCACCGGAAATACGATTGACACGATAACAATTAATGATAATAACAGAGGACACACAATTAATAATTAATACATTGAATATATATCGATTGATTGCGCTTTCTTGAAAATGAGACAAATTCATGTTTCGTAGCGACAGAAGAGAACAAAAGTGCATTCGCTGCACTTCGGTGCATCTACAGAACTGACTTGACGCACGTGAATGCATGTAGTACACGCGTGCATATCTGTCATTGACGGGACATTGTTTCTCCATACGATCTGTAGAATTACGGACCGCGAGAAAAAAGGGGAAAGTGTTCCCTCGAACGCGCTCTTCGCGTCGTTCGATCCCCCCCGATGTCGTTCACGCGACAAGAAACACGTCGCGACATGATGCGCATGTCATCGCGCAGCTGTCATCCGTAAACAACCCGTTAACAGAGAGCGGTGTCAGGTATTCGAATGATTACTTTGTATTTTTCTTCCACGGAAAAATGAAGGATGTACTCGTTGAAGGACATCTGATTATTCGAGCGCTTTTTACTAAACAATGTTTTGGGCGAATAATTCTATGTTATTGATCCGCTATTCTCTCTTCTAGGTTATACAGCTTTATTCTATAATATACAAGGTGTCCCAAAAATATCTTAATGTTTAGGGATTGCAAGTAGTATAATTCGGGTGAATTTAATTTTAAAACCTATAAATATAGCAGAATGCTCTGAAAATGTATCTTCTTTCGCGTCGTGTTTTTATTCTGATTTGTACTGCTTTGAATCCTTTAATTTTATTGATTGATTTTATTTTTATTTATATCAAAGTTAAATTTTCTCCGGGGAAAAATTTATACTATTATTCGATATTAAAAAGAATAAAATTCTCTATTTGTTATTGTATTAAAATTTTTATATATATGTAAAAAAATTAAATTTTGACGTAAACATAATTGTTTATCTACAAAGACATTAATTCTGCTGTTTTCTCACCACCATCGCTAATTTCTAAAAGATAAAAACATATTTCTAATTCTTAGATGCTCAAGAACTGTCAGAAACTGTTGGAAGTCTGGAGTTGGCACGCTGCTCAGTCGATATCCTATCACTGACTGTTTATCCATCTAAAATCTACATAGTAATAAGTGACTTGATCGTTTTTGAAACCAGGATGTCTGTTACCGAAGAGAGAATTCAAGAGTTAAATCGGCGTTTCCTGGATTTTATGAGCAAAGCAGAGAATGTCGAAACAGCAACGAAAGAGATTTATGAAGATTTGTTGGATGAGGTTTTGATGGGTTTTGTCTTTGATGTGCATCGTACCACCAAGACTGGCAGTTCTGATATTGAGGAGGGCATTCCCGATGACGAATCTTACGCCATTGTCGGTATGTAAATATACAATTAATTTTTGTTTATATTTGTTCATTTAAACTTGATATCTTGAATTATTGTAACTATTACTTTAACGATTTAAAGAACATGTTTGTGTTAATTAAAATAATTATAAATATATAACTACTTTTATAAAGAAGGAATATTTTATGATTTTTTAGAAATGTTTTATTTAGTCTTGTGAAGACTTTGCATAATATAAATATCTGCAAACATTTGCCTTATATTATTTGAAATATTAATTCTTTATCTTCTTATTTGAACTATTATTTATATCAAAATATTAACATCATTTTTACAGTGGCTGTATAATATAATGGATATGTATCGGACATTTATTTTTACTATTTTATGTCATTTTTTTTACAATGCTAAAAGATCAGTAGCAAAACTATTGATATTATTGTTAGAAGTAATCTGATGTTCGCACATACAACAATATTACAATATTACAAATATTTCTGTTTTAGATTCGCCTGGTCTAGATGTATTTGGCCAACACCCGGTGAAGAAATCTCAAGAGTGTAACTGTCCGAATTGCGAGCGCAGTGTGGCCGCGTGCATATTCGCTAACCACCTAGCGAAGTGCATAGGTATGGGCAGAAACAGTTCGCGTATCGCGTCGCTTCGCATCGCCAACAACTCCAAAGACCTGAACAATTACGGGGGAGTATTGAGCGACAACGATGACGACATGGACTGGAGTCTGACCAACGATAGCGGCAGCAAACGTAAACGTCCGCGCAAGGATCGCAACGGCGTGAGCAAGCGTTCAGGCAAGCAGCAGAAGCAGCAGGGAAGCGCTGCCGGTGGCAGCGGTTCGTCACAGAGAAACGGCGAGACCACTGGCATCGTCAGCGGGAGCAGCAGCGTCCACAGCAGCAACGAGAACTCGCCGTCGAATTACGAGAACATGTCCCTCGTGGACAAGCGAGCGTTGCTAACGCAGATCTGCGGCGTTGTGTCCGAGCACACGAAGAAATTGTGCACCAGGTCTATCCGATGCCCGCAACACACTGACGATCAGCGTAAGGAGGTACGCGCCAATCTGGATTCCAATAGCGGTAGCAACAGCCAGGACAATCTACACGTCGACGTGGACACGTATGAGGAGAGTGACGGTCAGAATCTGCGAGACACGTTGGCGAGATGGGACCGGGAAGGTTCGAGTCACTCTAGCCCAGCCGACTCGGCCTCGACCACGTCGACCTCGTCGATCAGCCGAAAGCGGGAGACTAAATCCAAGGGCAAGGGAAAGGCTTCGTCGAAGCGCGATCGCGGTTCCCCGATTTCGCAAGGAGACTGAGGCGGGAAAAGACGGTATAAGATTATTTCTCGGTCTAGAATTATTTCTCGGCGACAGAGAAATATTGTATGATAATGTTCCTATACGCTGTACATAGCTTAAAGAAGGGTCTGGTCCTTCTAGAGATAGTCACGAAGCCAGTTTGCATAATACTTAATCCTAAATATCTCCCAAGTGTTCTTTTATAATAATTATTTTTAAGAAAAAATAAACAGCTGTAAGAGAGTTTCGAAAGATGCGCAAGATATATTAGTATCTTTGATCTGAACAAATTGACTGTATTTAACATATAATATAAAGAATTTCATTTTTTAAGCAATATACATTTCTTAAAATTTTCGTGTTTCTAATAATTAATAACTGCATGTATTAAAACGAGCGTATTTTAAGGAAAACAAAGTTACAGTAAAATATAAATGAGAGTAGCATTAGATTGACAAAGAAATCTGTTTTTTTTTTGTCCTGGTTGGTCAAACAAATGCTACTTTATTCCGATGAGTAAATTTTTGAATCCAGTAGATTTAAGTTGTGAAATGTTGATATTAATTTCAAGACATTCCTACATTTTGTTCAATTCTGTTATTTGGCATCTTGACTGTTTTGCATTAGAAAAAATTTTAAGTTACTCGACATTACTTGATTTCTTATTTATTGGCTAAAATTTTTTTTTATTAAAAATGGTAAATAAAATCAAAAGCAGACAAAAGAGAAAGTCTAAGGCAGGATTCACACTACATCTGATATCCAATAGAAAACCTTCGTTTCTAGATCCCAAAATATTGCCAACTAAAATCCAAGCTCCTTTATTGGATATCGGACGCAGTATAAATCCTGCATGAGGATGCCATTACATTTATCGTGTGAGTTGAACGAGTTTGTTGGATGTCAGATGACAAACATCAACAATGCTAGTTGAATGATAAATATATCACTAATCTCTAATTCTTGATTTCGTGATATTGCGTCTTTAGACGAAAATTCAGAAATAGAAGTTTAAATCAGTTTAGACTAACTCGACTAACTTGAGGATTTTCAATAAAAGCAAATTTTGTACAATTCAAGGAAAAATGTTGAACGTAAAGATCGCAGGAGCATCCGTGAAATGCGTTATTAACAATGACACGCCGATAGCAGTGTATGAATTGTGGCAACGAGTCGAAGAAGAGACGGTAAGTTGTAGATCTAACCTCAAACTATAACTTTATCATTCTCTCAACAAATTCTTTTTAATTTTCTTTCAGAAACTTGCAAAAACTCAAAATTTATCATCAATTATTATTCAAAATTTAGCTATTATCATATCAATTCTCCTCTATGACAATTAATGAATAATTATAATATATTTATGTATTAATATATCTGAAATATTATATATGAATCATTTGTTGTTATTCAGGGGCTTTTGCGTGATCAATATTACATCGTACATAATGGTCGACTTATGCAGAAAGATGATATTTGCACGAGTGGCTACGCAACTATTGTTCCAAGATTGTTGGGTGGCAAAGGTGGTTTCGGTTCCATGTTACGGGCGATAGGCGCGCAAATAGAAAAGACCACGAATCGCGAGGCTTGCAGGGATCTGAGCGGTCGCAGATTGCGCGACATAAATGAGGAGAAGAGGCTGAAGGCTTGGATCGAGAAACAGACCAAGAGACACGATGAAGAAGCAGAGCGCAAGAGGAAGAAACTTGAGAAACTATGTGCAGAACCAAGACATGAATTCAAAGATCAGCGTTACGAACAGGAGAGAGCAAAGCTACCTGAAAAAGTTGAAGATGCAGTCGAAGAAGGTTTCAAAGCTGCTACTGTGTCAGGTGTTAAGAGGAAATCAGAAAAAGATGTTCAAACAAATAAACGCAAAACTATATTAGATTTTGAGATTGATTCCGATGAATTTGAGGATACTTCAGATGATAGTGACAATGATAATAGTGACGGAAATGACACAGCCGCGAAAAAAAGCAAGACAGAGCAACGAACGTTGACTGACAGTGGAAATTCGAGTGACGATACTGGAAAAATCGGTGAAAGCACCGAGAAAATAGAAAGCGAGCATTCCGAGTCGTCGATTGATAATGAGATAAACAATAAAGTCTCGAGTAATGAGTCGGTGGATCCAAAATGTATTGTCGATTCTACAGAGACACCTGAGGACCAATATGTGGATTCTAGAAAAGAAACCGCTGTTTAGAAATAAGAGTATGTAATAGAATAAATATTAACTTAAAATAAAAGAAATAATTAAAAAGGATAAAGCAAGATTATTTTTTAATTATATTTGTTTTTTTTTTTTTAGATTTGAGTCGGTTATTTTACAGTGTTACTCTTTACTATATTCCATCAAACTGGAATCCATTTTCTGTGATGATCCACACTATTGCCAGAAATGAAATGACAGATTCAATAAAAGATTTTGAATATATATATTAATATATGATATAGATTCATAAATGAGAGATTAAAGAATTATGTTGTTTTTTTATATTTTTGTGATTTATAAATCATAATAAACAAATTTTTAACGTACTTGAATTTCTTTGAAGACGCGGCTCTATCGAGCAACAATCTGTGGTAAGTTCCAAGCGTTTATTTCTCCAGTAAGTTTTATTCCGATTGCGAATAAAATCGTCGATGCAATGATCGATCTTAAGAAATCATTCTCATTCATCCATTGATAGAACTCCATGATATACCTCGCGCCAATAAGGACAAAATTATCGCTTCTTCCACGGCTTCGCCAAGTTTTTAACTGTGCTTTATCTGTAACATTTATTAAGAATTATTTATAAATCTCAAATCAGGTTAAAATATAATGTAACCTATATAAAAATTAAAAATCAGCAGATTGTATAAAGATATAAAACAAGATATGAGAAAACTATAAAAAATTAAAGGATAAAGACATTTTATCTTGTTCCTCTAAATTGGAGAGATATACTTGTCTAATTTTTTTAAATATATTATCATATATTTATATAAATATAAAAATATAATATATACAGTACTTACATCTTGCTACAGTTTGTAGACAAATACCGAGACAAGGTTTACAGCAAGTTTTGCAAAACTTAGGCTGTAATGCCGATGAAATTGTCAGATCGCGTTTTTTTACATCAGTTTACTTTATAATCTTGCATTTTATCTGAAGTGATATTTACCCTTCCAGTGATTGACGCGTTATAATTTTTAAATTTCGTATGAGTTCTGTATAAATTCAGAGATGGCAAAGATATAGAAGTTTTACCTACGAAAGTCATTTTATCAAATTCTGATCACTCTGTTCTCTAGCATCTTGATTTGCTTAACAGAATTCCACGTTGGCATTTGACAGCAAATCCGCATGCAATAGACGTTCACATTTTATTTATCTTTAAAGATATATAACAAAACTAATTAAATTTAAATATATTACATTTATAATATAATTTAATATATTATATGTAATAAAAAATTGAAAAAAGATTTGGCGCAATTTTTTATGGGAATATATAATTCTTTTCTATGTTTCGCGAAAAGATTTGGCAAGTCAATAAATCATAAGTCAGAATTAATATCATAAGCCAGACTCATAGAGTGAGTGAATTATAAAGATCTATTGGCTAAGCCGTAATGCACGTTTTGATACGGTCGAGATAAGATTGCACGAGCATACCTGTAGGAGATTGAAGCGAATTAAGCGATAGCTACTGCACGCAGTTAAAGTATAACACTTGTCAGGAGACGAGGATTTTGATGTGTGCATAACTTTTTGTGCATAAATGCCGCTGCGATTTTCGGTAAGAATAATTCGAAAATGCCAAATATTGACAAAACAACATAAAAGTTTACGTAACAGTCATATATGTAAATCAATATAGCTATTTATAATTTTTTGCTTAATTATAATTATAATTATAATTTTATGTATGTGAAAAAAATTATTTTATAATAAATTGTGAATGTAGTAAAGAAAAAAATAAACAAAAATTGTTCGAAACAGGAAAGTATATAGTTTCTCACACAATACTTTAAAATATTGTGCAAAAAACCTACTTGGTTTTTGGCTTGCTTGTTTCTAGCTTTTAGCCAGGATGCGATATTTACTATGGTGCGTTATAGTTTTCGGCGGTATTTCCATAGCATTTTCCAGTAAGTAAGTTTTCTATAATTAAATATTTCTCAATATTCTGCAGCACGTTCACAAAAACAGAATTTGCAAAGAAATACTTAAAAAATGTATTAAAAATATTCTAAATAAATCAAATTTTATTTCGAATAAATGTAAAATTTATAGCAATCTTTCACAGGATGAAGCTCTCTGAAAAAAAAAAAATATTTCACTATTTCCGAAATTAAATGTGTGATACTATAAGATATATTTAATGTAGTCGATGTAACAAAACATCCTGGCTGGCTGTTGCTGGAGCACAGGAGATGCGGCAATTCTAACAGCGATCGCATTATCGGCGGCAAGAATGCCAGCCTCGGTGCGTATCCTTGGATCGCGAGAATAGGATATAGCAAATCTGGCACCGACGACGCGTTAGCTTACAGATGCGGTGGGACCTTGATCAATCCGCTATACGTGGTCACCGCAGCTCATTGCGTGGTGAATCTGCCCGAAAAGTATGTAAACAATCGTTATACATAGTTAAAAAAAGAAAAAAAGTATTTGAATCGATTAAAAGACTTTCCTTCTATCGGTACAGATTAATTAAAAGTCACGCGAAAATCTCATCATTCGGTCGTTAGAGGATTGATTTGCGAAATAATGTGACTTCACGATTTATTAATTCTTTATAATTAAAATATCAAAGAAGCTATTAAATATTCGTGGATTTTTAATTAAAAAAAAAATTAGTTT